TCTCTTCTTGGATTAAAAAAAAGAGGGGAATGTCATTCTTAATTGCACATGGACTGTTTGATTCGCTTTTAAAAATCAACACTTCTGTTTTGAATATGTTTTGATTTGGCCCGTCTTAACAGTTTTTGTAAACATCTCATAATACTCCTTGGCTGGTACAAGGGCATTTTATTGCTTCAGGATGCGGGAGAGAAATACAGTGTATAGTGTTGTATTCTGTTTTAGTTCAATATACCATAACACATTTCATTCTATTTTTGTGTCTTAGCCCAATGTGATATAGACAATATCAGTTTCATTTTGTTTCTTGGCACATGGTGATCACCATTAATAATAAATATACCACTATTTAAAAATTATCAAGCAATCGCCATCATCAAGAGCTAATGAATATCACTTAACATGCCAAAAAGTTGTTTGATTTATGATAGCAGTTCTAAGTTTAGAAGTCTTTTTAGAACTTTTCTAAAGTTAAGACTAATTTGCATTGATTGACTTTTTTCCCCTCACAGCAGTTACTAGGAGAACTCTCTGAGGTAATTCAGATTGCTTGAAATGACAAATGATTTTTAAAAGATTTGGGGAAGAGTGTTAATTAAGTGTGTTGGACTTCTTGATATTTTGTTTTCTGTCTCCACCCAAATCAATGTCTTGTCACTTACAATCAAACCTATCCTATTCCTATACTTCAGGGAAAGCATTGGTAGGCAGAGCACATAAAAGAAATAAGAAGTCATAAGCCAAAACCGTTCCGTTCATGACACGAGTAAAAGAAAATGAATCACAGCTAAAACTAGTTTACACCAACACTAGGATCTATGACAATTTGCCATGGCCAACTCACTTCCGGACAAATCGCCATGGCCAACTTGGTGCAGGACATCTTCCTGCGGGATAAGAGTTGTACTAATATTAAAGAAATGGTGGAATAGAATCATTAAAGAAAGGATGCCAAAGGAGTGGCAGGATGAAATGTAAATGGCAAAAATTAAAAGCTTTTTTTATTTATTTTAAACTAGCTGTATCCAGCCACGTGTTGCTGTGGCTCAGTCTGGTAAAAGCGTGTGTTGCTTTTACGTCCAACAGATGGTGCTGTTTTTCAAAAAAAGCATGTTTTTACCTGTCACAGGTGTGACATCTATATAATATAAGTATATAAAAACACGCGCGTATTCGAATGCAACGTTGTGTCAAAATTTCAAAGCAATCGGTGAAGAACTTTCGGAGATTTAAGATTTTGAACAAACAAACATTTACATTTTTATTTATATAGATAATTAAACAGAAGTTGTCCTGCAGCAAGTTGGCTGTGGTGAGTTGGCTGTGGCAAATTGTCCCATTCCGCCAACACTATTCACTCTATCAATAGAAGAGAGTTTTGTAGCTCAGGGATGCAGGGTCCTTAGTGTTCTCACAGCTAGGTTGTTTTCTTGCAGATTCATTACCCAACTAGGTAACATCATCAATGGTGGAAAGGAGTGGGGTTTAGATATTCTTTATCTCTGACCATCCTAGACCAGTGGTGGCAAACCTATGGCACTCGTGCCAGAGTCGGCACTCAGAGCCCTCTCTGTGGGCATGTGTGCCGTCGCCCAAGCCCCACCTCCCCCCGCGGCCCCCTCCTCACCAGCAGCCCCCCAGAGGAGAGTTGTCGCTGGGCGCGCCCCGCACAGAGCAGCACAGCCAAGCACATGGCAGCTGGGCAGCAGGGACAAAACTCCACCCTCGCACCCTGTCGCATGCAGATGATGCATTGGGGTGCAGGTGGAGGGCGTGGCCAACATGGCGCTGCAGGACCACCTGGGCGATCTGTGGCAGGCTGTGGAGGTGGTGGGTGGCCCTGCAGGCAGGCGGGGCAGGGGACGGAGCGGGGTTGGGGCACTCGGTCTCTAAACTTGGTCCTAGACCAAGTTAAGCTAAGTCCAAAATTGCTAGAGATATTCCTAGAAGCCTGGCACTCAAACAAATCAGCCATCAACTGACACATAGAGATAAACAACATCTACATACCATTCAAAAGAGATAATCAAAAGGCTAAGAGACCACAACACCTCCTGACTAGCAATCCACAACCAGATAATGCCAAGCAGTCAACAACACCCCAGTCAAGGAATTACCGACTTAGTAAACAACAGCCTAATCAAGCAACTGCCAAGAACACTCCCACCAATATTGACAAGGCAAACCACTGTATATAAATAGAGGACAAACCCCACTTCCTTCTAGTGCTGATAAAGTTACCTATTTGGGTAATGAAATGTCTTCAAAAAAAAAAAAAACCATGCTCAGAGATCACCAAGGTCCCCACACTATTCACTCTCCTTCTCCATACCTTTTTATCCTACACAACTATTTTACATTTCACCATATCCATACTCTACTTTCTTTATGGCAATTTTCCAATTCCGGTCTTTGAGTCCTAAATGGAAGTGAACATATGAAATTGCCAAACACTTACATAATTATTCTCTGTTCGTGACAAAGAAATTTGATACTGTTATGTGCTTGGAGTTATAGCCTGGTTTGTTTGTAAGGACCTTTTAAATTGTCTATTCTTTCCTTTTTTCTTAAAAATAGGGGGGTGTTTAGGAAACTGTGGACAGCTTGGGCTTCATGATTTCATTTCTTTGCCTTCCCTTGAAATTTGTAGAAATGAGTGTGCACCTTATTGTGTTCCTCTAGACGGGATGGTTGAAACAGCAAACATCTGCTTGAAAAAATGCAGATTTTTTTCCAAAAGATTTTGAATTAATTCCCTCCACCCCCACTTTGGTAAATGAATCTTCCCTTCTTTTGTACAGAAACAGAGGACGGAGTTTTCTCCAAAGCAACCAGATCCCACGCCGGCTGCTCCTTCACCACCCCAGATGCCGCTTCCGGTCCCTCTCCCTCCCTGCGTCCCGGCTCCTGTCCCCGTTCCAGTGCCAAAGGTCCCGGGGGCCATCAGCCGCCAGAGCAGCACATCAAGCGATGGTGGCCGAGATGCCCAGAGGCAAAAACTGCCACCTGTTGACCGTGAGTTTCTCTCTCCAGGTGCATCTTTGTTTCTTTCAGAATAACTGAATAACAGAGTTGGAAGGGACCCTGGAGGCCTTCTAGTCCAACCCCCTGCTCAAGCAGGAAACCTTAAACCATTTCAAACAAATGATATCTAATCTCTTCTTAAAAACCTCCATTGTTGGAGCAACCACAACTTCTGGAGGCAGGTCGTTCCACTGATGATAGAGAGAGAGGTCTCTATCATCAGAGGACAGAAGGGAGGGAAATTCCTTGTCTTTCAAGCAAGGAATCTCCTCCCTCCCTCCCCCTCCCTC